TAAATAGGACTACAGTATTTACATTTCAATATAAAATAAACTAGTACGTGGCCCGTACGATGCACGGAAAAATAATATTTTGATTGTATTATAAATTAAATAAATAAATAACATTAATCATGATTTACCCATTATTTATAAATTAAACCGGGTTGGACGCAGTCCGACCGGATGGACCGAGAACCGGTTTATAACCGATTTACTGCGCTTGATAAAATATTTACTATCGAATCCGCCAACACCAGTATGTTGGACTCGTAAGATCGATACGATTTTATAAACAAATTTTGTTACATGAAAAATTATTTTAAATAAAATTACATATTTAAATAAAATAGAGATTTATAAATTGTTTATCAATTAGTTTAAACATTTGAATTTATAAATTGTTTAGATATTTAAGTAACACTTTTTATTTAAATTTATTACAAAAAGTACTATATATATATATATATTAAAGTATTATGTATTAAAATCTGAACAACCACAAGACGGTCCGATTCTGAAAACCTTATATTTACCGTACATTAATAAAAATGATAATGGAATAAATATTTTGTTCACATAAATAATAATAATAAAATGATATATAAATATTCATAAATCATTATTCATGTTGTCATAAAAGTATTGTTAATATGATTATTTGAAGTTTGGACTACATCACATTCACGTAATAAAGTATTTTCAATATTAAAATTTATATTTAGGTTCAATAATCAATTTGGTCTGGTCAAACTGATACATAACTTAGTTACCTCGGACCAACCAAGTTGTATCAAGTTTTTTGACTATTTTAAATATCACCTAAAAGTAATTCAATCAAAGTGGGCAGTACCCTAATTCAATCACCCGATTGATCCAAAGTAATTTCCTTATTTTCTTTAAATATAATATTTAATTTTATGAAATAAAAATATTTTATGATTCATATGTCTACACCAAATGATAGTATATTAAGATTATAAATTATATATCTAAAGATGAACTATTTATTTTTATTTTATGCATATTAATAAAAAATAAACATAGTAATTAAAAAAAAAATTAAGATTAATTGATTGAGTATACAATTTAAAAAATATTTTCAACGTTCAATATATATATATATATATATATATATATATATTTAACATGATTGAATTTTTGGATTAGAATATATATATTTAAAATAATTTTATTACTAAAAGTCAAAAAGAAAAGATGCCATATACAACTTTGAAAAGTTTGTAACCATTAATTTAGGAACCCTCCGATTTTAAATGATTTATAATTTTTGAAACATGATACGTGTATTTAAAACTCATTAATTTAGGAACCATCCAATTTCCTGAGAATGAATTAAAATTAAAATGTAAAATGTAAAAGTTACTGAAAATAGTATATAATAAATGTGGTTGACTTTTTCTTACTACTATTTATGGTAAATGTTAATTCTTATTATATATATATAGATATGAATTTAAAAGAGCGGGTTGACTACACTAACGGTAAGGCCGCCGCATACAAAAAACCGTATAGATGTATTGGTAGGACAATTTAACGTACTAAGGTGATCTTGAAAAGATAAGTGCGCTCTCGTTCTCCTGCCCACAGTTGGAACGATATGATGATGTGGCATCAGCTTTTCATACCATGATATTCAATTATCACAAAATTTTGACATGTAAGTAGTGAACATGTATTAACAAATCAACGGTGAGTAGTTGAGTATTGAAAATTAGTGTAGTGATAGACCTAATGAGAACAATTCACATATAATTAGTGAGGTTTTGATGAATTAGGATTTAGGTGAAGATTTATTCCTCTGCTTTTTTACAGGAAAGGGTCTGTGTAAAATGAATCATTTTGTCTTTTTGCACAAAAATGGTTGCTTTAAAGTGAGGGATTTGAAAAATCCATCAAATCTCATGTAGCCAGATTTTGTATCTACTTTGATAAATGAATCATATCTCAATTTCTGTAATCAAATTGAAAAATCTATTTTGTATCTAAACCCAGCTAAATCAATCTATCTATATATATATAATAAGAATTAACATTTTTAAAAAATAGTAAGCAAAAAAATAGAGAATATTAATTGCATTCCATTTTTGGTATGTTTTTTAATTTTTTTAATAAAAAATCAAGTAGCATTTAATTCTAGCACAAATCATGGGATTGGTTATATAGATGCATATTTAAATTTCAAACTTCAAACAAAACATGCCTAAATGTATTTTGAATTTTTTAGGGAAAAACATTAACAAACACGTTAAAGATTTCATACAATACATATATTTATATATATTATCTTAACATATAGGTTAATTAGTTTCATATCTAAACAATATATATTTAAACAATATATAAACAAATATAATAATTTGTCGTACAATACAAACAAATATATAAACAATATATTAATATACAAATATAATAAACAAATATAATAAACAATACAAACAAATATACAAACAATATATAAACAAATATAATAACTTGTAACGTGTATATTTCGTGCAATACATATATTTATATATTTCTTAACATATAAGGTAATTAGTTTCATATCTAAACAATATATACTTTAGGAATTAAATATTCATAACATTACTGACGTCATGTATATTTATAATATATTGTCACGTACATTTTACTACAATTGGTAATTTTTTTAAAATTATTTGAATAACTGGAGGTTGATTTGTAATTTGAATTTCAAATTCATTCAAACATTTAAGGAAAAATACCATAAGCAGATTTTTTTAATACATTTCATTTTATGTCAACTTACATATAATCATTTCCGAATGATTTGTTTCTCATAACATCGGACAGAATTAATAATTGCATAGAATTCAATTATGATTTCGAATTTATATCAAGGATGTTTAATAATTGCATAGAATTTCAAAGTTGTTTATTTATTATAAAAAAAAATTCTAAAAAAATATTTGTGTATATTTTGTAAAATGTTTTACTTTAAATTTATTTACATAATTTAAATTAATTAAATTAATAAATAATATGAACATACATCAAATATTTTAATTATATAAAACAAAAGAAGAAGAAGACTACATCTATAACTTGCATAAATAAGAATAATGAAATTATATTACAATAAATTTTATAATAAAATAATATGAGTATTATACGAGGAACAAGATTACGTAAAATTGTTATTTTTCTTATATCAAGGAATAAATATATATATAATGAAATCAAATTTATATTATTATAAACATGTGAGCGAGATAATATATTAATTAATTTACGGGCTTGCGCTACCAGACTCAAGTTTAATGTTCCGACAAAAAAAAATGACGTTAATTGAAAGATGTAAAAAGATAGATGATCAAACTCTATTATTTTTTAGGCCTGAACGGACAAGCTCTATGGTCCACTCATTTAATATCTCTCGTGAATCGCACGAGCTACTTAACGGACAAGCTCGGTAGAAATAACTCATTTAATACTTATTTCTCGTGCACAGTGGGCTACGTACTAGTATGTCTAATGACTAGTAGAAGTAATATTAGCCCTGATGCCGTTAAAATTGTGGACTTCCAATTTCCTCTATTTTAATATAATGATGGGTCGTAATTGATTCATCATGAGCGTAATTTGATTCTCCTATACATTTGGGATTCTGCTACAATTCCAATTTTAAATGCAGAATTTTACTTTAAAAGATTGTTTGGAATTTGAATTTGTAACATAGATTTTTATACTTGGAGATGAATAATATACTTTAAGGGCATCCTTTTTCCAATTTAAATTTTGGAGGGTAAAAAAAGACATCTAAAATAATAATTTATTGAAAACTGCAAAATAAACAAATAATGAATTATTTGTATATTTTATAAGTGTATCACTCATTAATTCTTTTGAAAATTCATCTACATAAAATTTCTAAAATATAGAAACTATACAAGATATTTTACTTATTCTTGCCCCAAATTGTAGTGTCTCAGAACAAATTAATTATTTAGACAATCCGCACGGCATAATCGTTTGGCCAATTTTAGAATTTATTAAAAAAAATACCTTTCATTGACAAATTGACATTTCAATTGTTGAATTTAAGTTTGAAGTTCAGTTATAGTTTATTTTTAGAATTTACTTCACAAAATTATCTGTTATAGTTCGAAATTTGTTATAGGCATAAACTTAGTTATCACATAAACTAGTACTCGACCGTGTATATATGCACAGATGCAAATGAAATTTTATAAGTTATGTGTGTGTAATATTTGTAATCATAAGTTGAATAATGTGCATTTCACATTTTATAATTTAATTATAAATAAAAAATGAATATTACTAATATAAACTATTTAACTTACATATAAATCACTAATAACTGCAATAATCTAATTTGTACAATACTTAGTGATTATGACTAATTGATTAGACTACCAAATATTAAAATTATTATTACAACATTTTTTTGTGAATTTTTAGTGGTTTGGCTATGCAATTAAATATATTAATTAATTTCAATAAAATATTGTTTAATGATTTTTTTTTTTAAAAAAAGATAATAAATAGTTTAAAAAAATGCAATAAACTTTTAATGCATATAATTTCCAAGTATCATTTAGTGTGAGTTTTTGATTAATTGGTAGTAGTTATTATGTAATAAATTAAATAAAATATATAATTAATTGGTTAATGCAAATGTAACCATTTACTTCCAAAACTAGCTGAACGAAAATGATGGAGAAAAAACTTATGAAAGGTAGGAAGAGATGATTGAAGATTTTTTTTTAAATTCAGAATTAATTGATTTTGTATTTAATTTTGTAATCTTTATTATTATTATTATATAATTCCAACTTTTCATATTCGTAGCGAGAGAAAAAGGAAGAGTTTAGAATTAAAAATTTAGTAAATAAAATTATGTTGTATTGAATTGGTTATTATATGGTCCCAAACCAAAATATAAAATAATTATTCAATACAGGGTAAGTTGTTTGCATATTTCAAGAAAAAAATTGGGGAAAATCAAGGATCTAATAATTATTTCAATTGAAAGTTTGAAAGTCCGATTTTAAAATAAAAGATGATTATAGATAAGGATAAATGTACAATGCATTGGTGATTAAAATAAAATAAAATACAATTATATATACGCACATAAATATATGTATATAATATATTTGTAACCAGAAAAAGACAGAAAAACATAAACAGGGTATAAAATTTTTTGCCTATAATTATATATATCTAGAATTTTATTTTCATGGAAATAAGTACGACAAGGATAAAAAGGCGGAATATCCAAACTATAACGCTTGTTTATAAGGCCCAAATGGAAATTCTTTGCTCTTTTCAGGGCTTCAGTTCAGCAACTGGGTAATTTGGGCTATTATCATTGGTATATCAAAAGTCAAAACAAATTGCTGGGCCATAACATACTTCATTTATATTATTGGTATGATTGTTACGTGTTTGGGTTTGCAGGTGATGACATTTGACGAGATGCCTTGACATGAATATATGAGGTTTTGATAGTTCTTGTCGTGCATAGAAACGAAACCACTAATAGAACAATACAAAATAAGCCATTAAAGCCATTGTAAATACAGCTTTGGTGAGAATTCATATTGTGTTGATAATGTAGAAGCATACAATAGCAGTGGTTGATGTATCATACTATTTTTTTCGAACCCAAATTGGAAAAAAAAAAAAAAAAAAAGAAAAAAAAAAAAAAAAACCTTAGAAAGTATGTGTGTTTAAGATTCTCGTTTATTCGTTCTTTGGCGATGTGAGCTCCTTCTTGAACTTTCCGAAGTGTGTCAGCAATGCATTGCTGTCAGGAAGATTTTCCTTGATCACAGGTTCGTGTTTGAAATCTATGGTCCACCGATGCAATTTGGGCAGAGTGGTTGGTTCGAAAATGCTCAAGCCCACGAATTCTTGCATGAGTTCAAACCAGTGGACGAGCCACTCGAAGTTCAAGTCAACCACTCCAATTTTTTCGCCACCGAAGAATTTCTTCTCTCCCAGAGACTGGTCTTGAATGATTTTGAGTGTGTCGAACACTTCTTTTGCTGCCTTTTCTCTGTTCTCGTCGGTGGACAGGAAGAACGCGAAAAATGTCATGCGCTGCAGAAGGATCATCGCTTTTGTCCAACATTTAAATTATCATTTTCATTTATCTTGAAATTGTTGAAATGAAGCTTGGTATTTTTAGTCTATAATTATGAAATATTTATTGCTTTTTTGTCTGCAAAAAAAAAACAAAATTGTTGTTTAAAATGTGTCAAACCTTAATACATATATTTGGCTGACTCGTAGAATACAAATACATACGTTCCAAAAAAATAGGTTGAAATTGCTTTATATGAATCCATCATAAAGGTAGGAGTCTCGTAACATGATAAAACATATAACAATCACATAAAACGTAAAAAGATAGTGTTTACTTTGTGATGATGATCTGCCCTCTGCACATTACTTGATTCTTGATTCTTTCTGCTTCACAAATTTAGGTGACTCAGAAAGTAATTTGTTACTCTTTGTTCATTGAATGCAAATGAAATGGCCTTTGTAATAAATGGTAATTAATAACAATATATATCCTTCTTTTATTCCCTTTAAATCAATCAAGAAATCACCAATCTCAATTGTATGATTTCCTTATAGATCAAGAATCATATCCCAAGTTTGTACTTTTGACATGTTCTAATCTGCAAATTGTTTCTTTAAGTAGCTCACATTGATCTGTATACAACTTCTTACAAACAATTCCTTTTGTGCCATCTGCATATTTTGCTCAATATTATGTGATACATTCATATAGATTATCAATAAAATGATAATTTGACATGTGCATTTGCATAAATTTCACAGGCCTAAAGTTTTTTTTTTTTTTGTTTGAATGCAAATGTAGAACCAAAAATCGCAAATTTGTGGCCGAGTTGGCAATAATAAACTGATTTCCTACATTATAATATACTTTCAAAGCCAGCCATACCTGCATATGAAATTGGTAAACATACTAATAATGTAGGTAGATATATCAAGGAGCCTTCATATACAAAGGACATTCAAAAGCAAACTACAAGGATAAACAGGGTTAATGGTAAGATACTACCCATCACAAAATAAACCATAATTCCTAGACTTAGTAACAAAAGGCTGGAAACTAGCAAAACACAAACCAAAATACCCAATGGTTCCGTTCCATCACAAATTAAGCCTAATAAACCAGAGATATTGATTAACCTGCATGCACACCATCAATGGCCCCGGGACTTGATCATCGTCTGCACAAAAAGCTTTGCCTTTTCAGCCTTCAACTCAAAAAGCCTCAGGTACGCCTTCATCTCTTCAATCTCCTGATTCTCCAATGCCTCATCGTCCTCCTTATTCCCCATTTGCCCCTTCTTGTCCTCAACAGCTGGAACATCGCCTAAACCCCTCAACAAGCTTTTCCTCATCCACACAAACCTCCTCGCACTACCCACTGTCTCCGCCCCACTTCCATTGCCTTTTTCGACCATCTTTTCTTTCTCACCAGCACCACTTCCATTGCCGTTTTCTTTCTCAGCCTCACTTCCATTGGCGCTTTCTTTCTCAGCCCCCCACACTTTCTCCGGCAGATCGTAGGTTTCCTGCTCATGCCGCCTAGTAAAGTTCTCAGCCGCACTGCCATTGGCTTTTTCGACCCCCTTTTCTTTCTCAGCCCCCCACACTTTCTCCGACAGATCGTAGGCTTCCTGCTCATGTTGGCTAGTAAAGGCTCTTCTTTTACCTTCCTGCTCCTTGCGCTTGTTGCTTGTGTACTTTTCTTTCATCCTAGAAATCTTTTTCTTCATCTGGGTTTTCGTCACGTCAATGTGCAAATCCTTCTTGATGAAGGCAAGAAAGGCGTCCATATTATCAGACGGGTCCGATTTCTTCTCGGCCCTAAACTGCATAATTCCGTTCAGGAGGGCGATCTCGTCGGACTCGCTCCATAACCTCTGGAACAACTGTTTCTTCTCTGATGCCTCTGGTTCAGCCTCCTTGCTGTTCTTGGACTTCTTGGTAACAGTGGGCTCCGTCCCCTTAACCTTCTCGACGGCCCTCTTTCTGGTAGGTCTGACCCGTGAAGTGGAGGCGGCGACGGTGCCTTTGGCTTTGGAATTCTTCCTTGACTTCTTGTCGGATTCGGATCCGGAATCCTCTTCGGGTGGGTCGGGCTTCGCGCCAGACGGGGTATGGGGTTTTCTGGCGGCCGCCGGCGGTGGGGAAGACTTGCGGCTCGGTTCGGGCTCAGATTCGATTTCCTCAGACGAGGAATCGTCGGTTTCCTCCTCCCCAGAAGAGGTTTCAGAGGAGACGGGCTTCTCGGGCTCACGGGATTTCAACATTTTCTGGTGAGAAAATTATAAAGTTAGGGTTTTTCTTTGGAGGGGTGAGACTCAGAGCGAGTAAGCGAGGGCTTGAGAGGTGGGCAATCAATCGGAAATGAAAATAGGAAGTGAGAGGAATTATGAAGCTATTTTATTAATCTCGAACTTTACCAACTCTATGAATACAGCAAACCCTCCCAATAGTCGGGCAAACACACCGCAACTTCACCACTCGAACCAAAGCCCGAAAGAAACCCAAACAAAAATAATACGATTTACGGCAAACACGGCATCGAGGGAGCCACTCTCACCCCCACACGTTGGAGAACTCGCTCTCCACGCACCACGGAGAGGCCGGAACAAAGGGGCAAAGACCCGGGCCGACCACGTCGTGCATTATATTTCCTCATTTATAGATTGTATGAGGTTGTTTTATAATTTTTAATAAGAATGTATTTATTGGTATATACAATGTTAGGCGCTCGCTAGGCGGCACGCTCAATGTCTAGTGCTTTGATACGGATTAGACAATGCCTAAACAAGGTCGTGAAAATATTAATAAAACCTATTTATAATTATACATGATTAAATAACATTTTGCAATTTATACTATGCGCATGTTTAAGATTTGCAACCTTTGCAATTTTTTTAATAAGTTGTAACCTGTAATATTACAGAAAATATCTATATCGTAGTCTCCGGCTATTGACGGTCCGATTTTCCCCATAAAAGCAAGCGTGCGAGACGCACGTACCAAAATTGAGAGCAAAAATGTAAATTCACTGATGAAATAAATCGTTTTATAACAAAACCATAAATTTGGAAAGCTTATTTTCCAAGCAAAATTGGGAATAATTGAGGTCCAAATTGGACTCGCCGTGAAAAGAGAGGACCGGAGAGCAGGTCCGACACTGTCCTTGGCCGTGGCACGCTCACTGTCGTCACCAATTCAGCCTTGCCCTGGAAGGACGACGCCTTCTCGAATAGTTTTCCCCTCTTGTTCTTCTTGACTCTAACTTTTCGGTATACTTTCGCGACGACATCTAAGTTAACTAGTTAATAGGCATATGCCATAAAACGTTGCCAGGGGCGGCCCTAATGGCAGTAGATAAGGGAAAGATTTCTTCCCAATATTTCAATAAAAAACCTTAATCAAGAAGGAAACATTGAGATTAAGTCGAAGAGAGGACCCATAGATTGATTATGTCAATTTGAATTTGGGTAAATATGTTGCCTTAAATTAAATTCACTCGTGAGACCAATAGACATAAGGTGAAATGACATTTTATTCTCTCAAATTTGGTACGTTCTTCTCGCACGCTTGCTTTTTTCGAGGAAATTGGACCGTCGATGGCGAGAGATTGCGGTATCGACATTTTGTATATTACATGTTGTAACTTATTACCAATAATTGAAGAGGCTGTAAATCCTAAATACACGAATACTACAGGTTGTAAAATATTATTTACCCTTTATAATTTTTAAAATTTATCCATGTAAATGTTGAGAAATATTATTTACCCTTTACAATTTTAAGGATATATTATATAAAATATATTAGTTAACATGATCAAACATAAAGATAATGCAAAAATTAATACATTCATAATTATTTTAATTTTTAAGAACTAAGGTATATTCAATACAGTTATGGACGTCTAGGTGTCCTTTAAGATCGCCTAGGTACCTGTTTCGAGTCTTTCGAGTATCGACTACCCGGACAATCTATACATGATTAATATTGCCCGTGTCTAGAATGACCATCTAAAATCGTGGCACTTGAGCGTTACCTAAACTGATTTTTATAATAGATATTTATATTAGAAAGTACCATGCTTTTGTTTATATTCATATCTCAGCAAATTATATTCTTTTCATTCTCCTCTTGATTTCTGAGTTGAAGTTGGCAACAGTCGCGTAACCCACCAGTGGGCTCTTTATGTTGGACGAAAAACTTGAATCTTTTTTCTGGGTTTTTGAGAATTCAATTTTAATCTTCAATGGTTTTTCGATAAATAGGTGAATACCAGCTTGAGGTTGAAGAAATAGGAAAGAGTTGTACTTTTTCCTTTACTGGTTGTAATTTTCTGTTTTCGAACTAAGGAATTTATGATGTCCTCTGTGAAGTGTTGTCTTTTTTCGTCTGAGCTCGTTTAGCTGTAAACTTGCAATTTATTAATTTCCATCATTTTGTAAATCATTTGAGTGACGTTTTATTTCTCTATTCTCATCATGCTAGCTCAATTTGTTCTCGCAGGTTTGCTCACCACAAGAAAAGACATCAGGGTTTTGTTTATTGTTAGGGAGAGGGTGCTGGTATAGGAATCCTCTCTCATTGCAATTAATTTGCAGGATTTGGAATTTGATCTTTAAGTTTCTTGCACTTTTTTGGTGAATGGGTTTTGGTGAAAAATTTGCAGTTGAACTGGTTCTATCACTACACTTCACGTTTCTCCCGATTGCTGAGTTGGAGTTAGCAACAGTCACTTAATCCGGTAATGGACTCTCTCTGTCGGACGAAAAAACTGAATCTTGTTCTGGGTTTCTGAGAATTCAATTCAATCGTGAATGTTCTTTCAAGAAATTAGGCTAATACCAGTTGCTTGATGTTGAAGAATAGGAAAGAGTTGTACTGTTTCATTATTGGTTGTGATCTTTTTATTTTTGAATTGAGGATTTGGTGATGGCTTAAGCTGCAGCTCTGTGAAGTGCTGTCTTTTTTACCGAAGCTCATTTACCTACAAAGTTGCAATTTATTAATTTCCATGGTTACTTGAATCAATTGAGTGACGTTATATATTTCTCGCAGGTTTGTAGATATTTCTTAACGTTGCCTACCACAAGAAAAAGGCATTTGGGTCTTGATTATTGTTAGGGATAGGGTGCTCGTCTTGGGATCCTCTCTCATTGCATTTAAATATTTTTCGTATGAATGGGTTTTTTGGTGATATTTTTCGTATGATTTGGTATTCGATCTTCAAATGTTTCTTCGTATGAATGGGTTTTTTGGTGATATTTTTTAGATTGAACTTAATAGTGGGCCTCGATTGGTGACGATGGGCTCTACTTGTTGCTGTTTGAAGGATGAATGTGAAGATTTTGCTAATCCAAACAGCTCGGTTTATCGGAACTGCATATGCCTCCGCTGCTTCATTCAGCATTTCTTGCATATGGTATATACTGACTGCTGTGATGAAATCGATTAAGTTGTTCAAATTTTATATTTCCGTACTTTTTTTCGCTATTACTCTCGTGTGTATTAGTTATGACTAAATTTTCTTCTACTCAAACCTGATTGCATCGAATATTAGTATAACATAGCTTTTGAAGTTTGATGCTTTACCCGCAGTGTTTTTAGTTGGTCATGTTAGTATTATTATCACTAAATACGCATAGTTGGATTCAATCTTATTTATAATATTATTCTTACATAGTTTAATAGTTTTTGAAAGTATAAGAAAGAATATAACTTTAAGGGCGTCTTATGAATTCTCAAACTCCAGTCTTTTTAGTGAATATTATTATCCCGAACATGAGGGTAGTTTATACAATTATCCGGCCAAATTTTAATCAATAACTGATCTGATTTGAACCTTGTGAAAAAAAGGGGCTTGTTTTAAATAGCCCGTGTTTTGTCATCGAGGGAGAAAGTAGCATTTTATTTTGAAGCATTTTGAGGGACTAGATGTGTTGCTTAAAACATTCACTTTGTTCTTGCTCGAGTAAATTACTGATAACCGTTCACACGTTTTAGTTTTACACACACGCATTTTTCATCTGCAAACCCAAACACGTAACAATCATTGGTATATCAAAAGTCAAAACAAATTGATGGGCCATAACATACTTCATTTATATTATTGGTATGATTGTTACGTGTTTGGGTTTGCAGGTGATGACATTTGACGAGATGCCTTGACATGAATATATGAGGTTTTGATAGTTCTTGTCGTGCATAGAAACGAAACCACTAATAGAACAATACAAAATAAGCAACAGAAGACAGTAAGTGTAAAGCCATTGTAAATACAGCTTTGGTGAGAATTCATATTGTGTTGATAATGTAGAAGCATACAATAGCAGTGGTTGATGTATCATACTATTTTTTTCGAACCCAAATTGGAAAAAAAAAAAAAAAAAAAAAAA